CATTGGTGCCATGTTTCAGTCTGGCCACCTCGTATCTTTTTCCAGCCTGGACCTACTTCAGCCAAAATTGTGTGACAAGGCAATCGGTGACTAGGCATACGTAGTACGTGTCCCAACCATCTCAGTCGATGAAGGTTCATAGGCTGGTCAACCGACTTACCTCTAGTCTCTAAACCCTACACCTGACTTCTGCATTACTCACGTGGTGACACCGCGGAATATGGCGGCCTATACTGGGAAGACAATGGTGGTGGTCAAACACCTGACGCCAGCCTTCTCATGTTTTTCACCTTCAATGGCCATGTTTCACAGCCATACAGTAGAATAGAACGGACTGCTGTACAGTATACGTGACAATCGGATATCACGGTGGCGGCACAGGTGGCGTAAGTTCGCGAAAGTCAATCGGGCCTTTTGTATGTGCGTAGAGATTTCACGGGCCACTGAGCCATCAGGGCTGATCCTACTTCCCAGGTAAGTGAAGCGCTCCACACACTCAATCACTACACTCACTCTCTATTGTTAGCCGTGGTGGGGCACCGTTGAAGACCAATCCTGGAGCAACAATTTGCATGTGGTGGTGGTGGTGGTGGTGAGAAATGCATCCCAAACATTCTCAAATTGCCATTCAAAGTGTTCAGAAGTCTCTGGATCTTGTCAACGTCTTCACCTAACTGGACTGTGTCATCTGCATATTCTAGGCCTAAAGAAAACTCCCCACAGATTAGGTCAACGTCTGTGTAGTCAGGAGACGAGAGGGAGACCTGTATGAGACAGTGGGCACCCTTGACGGACACCACTCGATGAGTACAGCTCACCTGACATCTCACTATAGGCTCTAATATGCCCACAAGTGTTTGAGTGGAGAGACTTCAATAAAGTGATGTACTTACTTGGCACGCTTTTCAGTGACAGCTATTGCCATAAGACTTCTCGATCAACAGAGTCATAATCTACTTACTACCTATACTGATGTATATTTACTGGGTCAAGTTTGATCGTAGGGAAACACAGAAGATAATTACAGTGAAAAAAACCACTTTTCTTTTCGACGAAATCATTCACTTAACTGTATACTCGTGAATATAGACAAGAAAGTGTAGAACAATATTCCAGAGTAATTCCCAGTTGAAGGTCAAAATAAATTCAATGACCAAAGAAAGTTACGTAATGTCTGTAGGTGTAGGTGTATAAAATGAGGAAATCAAGAAAATGATTAGAAAAATGAAAATAATTGGGTGATATGTGAGTTATCTGGAATGATCGATCCTTTACTATGGATATGACAAGGAAATAGATTGTACATGCTTCCTTTGGAATGTATAATGATGGTTTGAAGTGTTGAATGGCTTAGTCGCAGGTTTTATAGAATTTTGAAGAATTTATGTAAAAGAAGTTAAGTATCCTGGTACAGAGATGAAGATACACAGTCTCGTTCTCCTCTTGTCAGATAATTTCAGTAGGCTTCACAAACCAGTTACATAACCTTGTACATGGTACAGTCAATGTGCTCAACTCAGAAACAGTAAGTTAATTGATACATATACACATATATTGATATGGATCAATACTTCAGCTTATCCTTTGTATATTGATCAAATGATTTTTTGACAAGAGAATATATCTCATATTCAATGATTGATGATAAACAATGACTTAAGAAAGTTATCCAATTCAATAGATAAGAGGAGAATGGAAATCTATCCATAAACTGTGTAACACAGAATCCATAATAAAGTCAAGATATTTGAGTCTTTGAAAATTCTGTACAAACTGTATACTCAGTCAGTCAGTCAGTCAGTCAGTCAGTGGAAAAGAGTAACGTTGAGATATTTGAGGATGGTTGAAGAATGAACAGTGTGAAATAAGTAGATACAACCTCGTTGTGTATTATAGAGATTTTAAAGGATTGATCAGTTTAGAGAAATTCCTTTATGATATCTAAGTATCTTTTCTTATTTTGTTTATTTTCTTATTATGTAACTTTCCTTTGTCATGTAATTTCGATTGATGGTTGATTGTAAATTACTCTGAATTGTTATACTATCCTATTCATGAATATACAATGAAGAGAATGATTTTTGTCATGAAGAAAACAGTCTGTTCACTGTAATCTTCTTCTATGTTTTTGTTCAGTTAAGTTAGTGAAAACTGATTGTTAGATGGTAACCCGTACACTACTCAACTGTTATGTAATAAGTGAAGTTTATCGATTAGGTTTTAAAGTGTGTAATCACCAACCTGAATAGTTGTATATCAGAGATATGTAATGACGATGAGTTTTATGTTTTATCAGAGTTTTGACGTAGATAATCATGAACTCAAGTTGTCTGATTTATTAATAACCATGATTAGGCTGTTAGGAATACAGCAAAGGATTGTTTTATTGATATGGGAGTCAAACTTGAGCAGTGTGGAACATAGAGATTCAGTAGCTTGTCTCTATTTCACTCTCTTCTCTCCACTCTTTTTAATTTTCCTCCACGACTGCCAAGAACCTTCCATTTCTTCCTCACACACAATCTCCTCCATGTCACCCTCAACTGAGATGCCCAATTTGTCGTTTCCCATTTGGATTCCGCTCGACAGCTTGGTGTATGATTTCCCCGAATGGTCTTCTCAGTGCATGCCTTATCCGTCTCCACTTTCTTCTTCGGCATATTTTTTGGGCGATGGGTTGTCGCCAACCAGCCACAGTTCTTCCCTGCTTATTCTCATCATTCTTGCCATCTGAACTTCAGTATCGAGCGTACGCAGCTGTCAAGGTATATCTGTAGTTTGCTGGAAATGCTTTATGTAACGCTTCAATTCTGTTAAGCATATGCAAGCCCTGACCTAACTGAATTAGTGCTGAAAATCCGGATATTGTTCACGCTTTATGTTGAGTGCAACGGAGTAGACCTCCACACTGATTTCAGATGATTGCAAGAAGGCCTATCTTGCTGTCTTTCCAATCCTGGCTTTAACATCTTCATCTGTGTCCCCACTGCCTATAGGAAGTCCGGCCTTCCTTTTCTGCCCCGTCTCGCCTCTTTTGTCAACTTGTTAGTTCTCGCCTTTAGATCTTCGAGTTTGTGCGACAAGACATAAGACATAAATGATCATCGGCGGCGAAATCCAAATCTTCTTCTGGGGTCATTTCATCCGTCCATCTAGCGTATGCCCGTTTTCTCGCTCTTTACAGTTTCCTGCATGATCCAGTCAAATCCATTCCAGTCGACCAGAATCGGGAAGATAATCGGTGATAGTAGGCAGTCAACCTTGTCTTACTCCTGTCCTTTGTCTTCACTTCAAACGCACCACTTAGCTTTCCACTGTGAATCACTTGACATGTAGGATCATATAGTACATAGCTACTGTTCAATGAGGTTGATAAGGTTTGTGGTATCAAATCTGTAGTGTTGAGGCAGCTGCCTACCAAATTACTTCTCGGTGGACGTTGTAGGAGACCTATTCAAAATCGATGAAGTTCAGATAGAGTTGAGTTGACTGCCATTCTATGCTGTGTTCTATAACGATGTGTAGCGTTGCGTTGCAATTTGATCCTCATATCATTTGGGCTTCCCGAAGGCAGCTAGCCAGTCAGCCTGTTCCGGCCGTAATTTTGAATCGAGAGGATTTTTTAGTCTCTCCAAAATGATGCGGCTTAACGTTTTGCTTGGTTTGGGTGGATAGGAGTATGATTCTGCGCCAGTTCTTGAGAAGACTTAGGTCTCCCTTGTTTCGGAGTTAGAGAAGGTAGCCCCTCTTCCAATCAATCATCAGATACGTTTTCTTCCTTCCGAACCTTGGGCACCAGTCACACGTAATGGAGGAACAGTATCATTTACTAGATAACGTTTAGGATACAATTTATTGTCTATATTCATATCAGGTAACTCCACAACTTCGAGACAGACTTTATATAGTCCTAATTTTCTCTCCTTCTCTGTGATGACAAGGGTAGTAGAATTTTCCATATATCTGGGACAGGTGCGGAAGCATCTCTGCTGCTGCATGTATTTGGTGTCGATAGGATCGCTTAACCTACAAAGTTTGTTTCTAAGCAAGTTTGTTGGTTTGAGTGCCAGCCGCTTTAATCCCAGCCAGGCTTATTGAGAATTCTTCTTAATGCTTCTGAGGTGCCTTCCTTGCATGGTAACACAGTGGAGGCTATAAATTCTCTCTCAACCCTGTCACCATTATTACCATTAGTAGTAGAATTATTATAACACCTGTATTACTACTACTACTACCACTGCTAATATTTTTCTTTCGATTCATTATGAATTTATTTATAAATTTTCGTGGGCAACTATTGAGACGTAAGGTGTTCTTGATGTGTCTAATCCCTTGTCGCAGATTTTCTGGTCTACTAGTAAGCTTTTCCACCCTATCACTTAAGCATTTAACTAAGCCTACTTCAAAACTGAAACGGGAAGGAGGAATTGAAGTCTAAGTATCGATTCGAATGGGTAGGTTTCCTATAGACACTAGTCTCTAGACTTCCGTCTTGTGTTCATTTAATCTTCCAATCCAGCATTGCTAGGTCACCTTCATGACTTTTTAAGTCACAGCTAAGTTGGATTGGATTCACAAGTGAATTTATATGTGCCAAGAACCTATTGATGTATTGCGATTTCAGTACTGTAAATGTATCATCTACATATCGGAACCATATCTTTGGAGTAGGACTAAATATTTGAAGGACCATCCGTTCCTAAGTATCCATAAATATGTCTGCGACGATAAGGGGATATTGTTGATTCCATGGCAACACCTTAAGTTTGTTTAAATGTATTTTATTTTCTACTGATTAACACAAATTTAAATCTTCTCAAGTGTATTAATTTCATATTGATAGTAAGTAAAGGCAGCTAGTTGATGAGATTCAATGAACAGAGCTCTACTATAACATCAAACATTCAATCACTTTGGCCCTCATTAGTATTATTATTATTATTATCTTTTCAATTAATTTTAGAAGATATTGTAAGAAAACTTTTCTCCCTTTTTTTCAGTCACCAATATCGAATAAACGATCACTTCCATTATCTACAAGTGCTGATGCAAATGAAGGTGTAACTAGTCCATGTGAATGATTTTATCATCTTCTCATTGTTTATTAATGTCGAAATCATACTATACTAATCATTATGATCAGTATCAATGTCAGTAATACAAGATCAATAAGCAATATGATATCTTTTAGTATATATTTATGTGTGTTTATTTCTTTTCTGGTGTTTAATTAAACTGCTGACAATTCAATGCTCAATAATTGATAATCATACATAATATAAAATCAACATTTCAAGGGGAATATTTTGTTTTGTTTACTCCGTCTTACTCTGTCTGTCTGTCTGTCTGTCTGTCTGTCTGTCTATCTGTCTGTCTGTCTGTCTATTTCGTTCTCTCCTTCTTTCCTTCAAATTTATCTCTTTTCAACTTTGTCTTGTCATGTTTGTATACCCTACCTCACAAGGTGAATGCTGTACACACACAGATAGGAGTAATCTGGTGTGTAATATGTTTATTAGTATGAATTTGCAATTATCGCAATGTTTCATTAACACTATTGCTACATAACGTGAAAGGTGTCCACATCAGAGTGAATTAGCAAATACATACCAGCGATACTACTACTACTACTACTCACACTACTACTACTCCTGCTGCTGCTACTACTACTAGTACTACTCCTGCTACCACCACAACTACTACTACTACCACTACTCCTGCTACTAGTACTACCACTGCCACCACTGGTGATAACAATAATAATGGTAATAATAGTACAAAATATCCTGACAAAAACAAGGATCATTGTGTATTTTCTCTCTTTGCCTCTTTGTCTTTATCGCTCATTTTATTTATCATTCATAAATTCAGATGTTTATTTGCTTATCTCATTTTTTCTAACATCATTCATCATTTATATCCATTTCATTTTTCAATCTTATTTTAAACAAAAGTATTCACTAAAATTTCATTAGCTAATCGTAAAATGATTGCTATTCCCCCTATTGGTCAACTAACTATCTAGACTGAATGTTTGAATAAGTTGAACGAATATTGAACATATTTGTTCACTTGAATGTATTTTTGTTGTTTTCAGTTACACTTTAATAAGTGAGAAGCGCAATTTTAAATGATAAGTGTTAAATTCCAGAGAAAACTGTTTTCTCCTTTTTTTTCTTCCCTTTTTTTCTTTTGGTTTTTAATCACTTTAGAGTTTTTCTTTGTGTACATGCTAATGCCAGTAAAGATAATAACAATAATGATAATGATGGCGGTGGTGTTGATGATGATGAAATCAATAAGACAAGACATCATTTCACTGATTTCACTACCGAACTTGGCATTTGTTCAGAATAATGAAGTAGTCGATAGAAGTTTATTCTGATACCTTCTGTAATGATATGTAGGTGGCATTCCTTGACAGTAATTTGTCCACCATCTTGATTTCCGTTTCCGACTGATTGTTATTATTTTTCCCTTGGGTTCCTAGTGGAACATACTACTCCAGCAGCACGCCTCCATTCCACCCTGTTCTCTGAAAACTTTTGAACCTGTCTCCACGACAGCCCACAAACTCTCATTTCCTCCTCACACGCAATCTCCTCCATGTCACCCTCAACTGGGACGCCCAACTCGTCGTTTCCCATCTGGGTTCCACTCGAGTGCTTGGCATGGCACGTGATGTCCCAGTCGGCCTTCTCAGTACATGCCAAATCCAATTCAATCCATTCCGTCTCCACTCCTTCTACTGCATATTTGTTGGGTGATAGGTTCTTGCTTCATTGGTTCGTCACCAGCTAGTCAGAATTCCTTGTTGCTTATTCTTATTATTCTGGCCATCTGATCTTCAGTAAGCAGCCAGCGTAGGTGGCAGTTGTTGACGAATGTCTGTAGTTTGTTGGAAATGCTCTTCGTAACCCGCCAGTTCTCTGAGCCATATGGAAGCACTGTCTTGACGTTGGTGTTCAAAATCCGTATGTTGGTCACGCTTTATGCCGAGTGGAGTGGAGTGCAGTAGATCTGCACACTGATTTCAGATTAGTGAAGGCCTGACTTCCCCTTCCTATCCTGGTTTTGACATCATCGTCTGTACCGCAGCCTGCAGTTCAAATGACGCTGCCAAGGTGGTAGGTGAAAGAGACTACTTTTAGGTTTCTTCCCTTGATGGTGATCAGCGGTTTTTATTGATGCCGTTGTTGGTTGGGTATTTTCGTAACCTCCATCTTCCCCGCCTTCACTTGAAATCCCGTCTTCGCGGTTTGCCGCGTGATCCACTTTCCTATACTTAGTAAGTACTGAAGCAAGAGTTTTGCCATTTTATTGATGTGACTATCCGAGCGTTCTTTAGCAGAGTGTTTTTTTAATAACTAACTTATTCTGGAGTATATGTCATTTTCATCGAGGTTAGTGATTTGAACCGTAGCAACTGTGTCCTGAGGCTTTAATGTCCAATATTTATGTTAAACTTGGAGAGTTTCGACTAACATCTGATAACAAAAATCATATTTACAAACTTCATATCAGCGTTTGTTAGGAGAGTTCTGCTGAGTCATGTAAACCGCTTGATTGGATATGGAGACTCCTACTCAAAGTATAGGCCGTATTCCGTGTGTCACCATGTGAGTAATGCAGAAGTGAGAAGTGGATTTGTGAGGAGAAGAGGTAAATCACCTGACGAGGTGATGAACCTTCATCGACTGAAATGGTTGGGACACGTGTTACCTACCCCTAGTCGTCATTTGCCTCGTCACACAATATTGGCCAAAGTAGGCCTAGGCTAAAAAAAGGCCCGAGATGGCCAGACTAAAATATGGGGTATCAATGTATGAAGTGTTCGACTATTGGTTTAAGCCATGTGCGACGATGCAGACTAGCGGGCAGGTGTCCACGAGACAAGATGAACTAGTGGTTGGAGACTGACTCCAGATGGTCACATGGCTGAGAATCGATGCCAGTGTCGCAGATGTATACACACACATTATCCTCACCTTAAAGACGTTATACTGAATCTCAGCATTTTCTCATTCTTCATTTCTCTCTTTCCGTACTTTATATTTCCTTTGACCGAATTTTCTTTCCTTCGTCTTCCATTTGATTTCCTTTTTACTTGATGGTGGTGATATCAGCTGCGGCAACTCGGACCATCACGCGGTAATGCTCGGTCCTCTGCTGATTTGAACTCAAAGAGATCTGACTAATGCACCCATCCGCTGATCGCTTGACTATTTTACACATGCATCCTAACTCCCACCTTATATTCACCAAGTAGTTAAGCCACAGGAAAATTTTGCGTTCTAAAATAAGCAATAAAAGTGCAACAAATCCTCACTTATATTGCAATGTGAACTACAATTGAAATAAATATTTATACTAGGTGATGATTCAAGGTGAAATAAAAATCTGGGTGGTAGCAGGATGGGACCAAGCAGCCTCCGGGTTATCGTCCTGGAGATCTTCCGACTGAACTATGAGAGCCGGATACTGACTGGGTCTTTCAATTTACTTCAGTCACCAAGCGTTTCCTTTGACTGCAACTTGAATTCATGATGCAGTGTTTTCGCTTGATCCCACACAAGCCGGTTGACCATCCAGGACCTCTCATCCCAATCAACTAGATAAGGGTAGCATCACATTGATTATCCGTCTGGTTAATTGACATAGCAGAGGTTTGTAGATGTATTGGTGCTACAAGATGATGACCGATGGTTAAATGGAAATCTAGGCTGCGTTTCAAATATCCACCAATAAGTTAAGGAAATAACTTGACATTTCTCACAGGGATTTTCCTGAAAAAAATTTAATCGTCTTGGGACCAGGATGTTCAATATGGGCTATTTATGATTACATTACCGGAGTACCAAGTCACCTGTGTACCATTTCCTTTAGCATGTTGACAGGCATACGGTAAAGAATGTGAGAAGCATTCATACCCTGAATGCGTGGATATAGCTTTGTTTGAAAGCATCCAAAAGATATCAGTTAGTAAGTAGATTGGTTTTAATGGTAAGCATTTTAACATTTACGTCCTAAAGAACATAAGTTATCTCTTTCTACTGTTGCTTCTTGTCATGATTGCATTCTGTCTACCTTGTAGTTCATCAAGGATTTATTACCGTTTGTTAGTTGGCTGAAACAGTTTAAGTCACTGTGTTTATTACTTTGACCGAAACCCTTTATTTCCCAATTTTATAACCGCCTGACACTCAGTTATCTATGTTAGACTTGTCTGACCTACCTAAGAGAATTGCTATACTTCTGTATACTGTTGATGCGAAGTAATTTCCGCTCGGTTTTTGGATAGAAGTATTTTACTGACCTACGTTATTTCTGAAGACAAAATCTCGCTGTTTTCTGTTCAGAATTGCTTCTTTTTGTCTCTAAGTATTTCAAGACTGTATTTTCCCAGACGTTTCGACATACGTTCCGTATTTTACACCAGAAAGAGGGTAAAATTTACTAGAAGATGGCACTGTTGATTTGTGTTTTCGCTAAGAACTTCACTATGCTCTACCGGTGTTTTGTATTACGAGTATTTGTTGGGTACGCTTCACTCAAGGGGCCATCAATTACAATTTATAACGAGTAAGCTATATTGCCTTAGTTATGTGTCCGATCCCTAGTGACCATGTGGTGCGTACAAGATATGTCACTTGGATTTCAGTGGTTATATCTATTCTGGGATTCCAAAGAAACTCAACTGTCAGTAGAGCATACTTCGGCCCTCCAAGCGTTAAGCAACTGTAAGCATGGAAGCCCCCTCATTCTTTAGATTATGAGCAGCAGGTGGGTACCAGAACAAGCCCAGAGCGTCCTGATTGTGTTTCATTATAGATCCCTGAGACAGTATGATTTCACCTAGGTTAACGGATTCCTGTGGCCAGGTGATGGTAGAGGGATCCTCGTCTAGCCTAAATAACCTTAGTATGTGTCCAGTGACACGCTTTACTTTGTTCTTAGGTCCCCTTATATTTTCTTACCGCATTGGAAGGGGCCGGTGATTTCTGCGCAGTAGACAGTAACTGCTTAAGTTTATTAATGTGCAGTGCAGGCAGCTTTCCGCATTTTAGGCAGATGTACCGGA